GCATGCGCATTGTGCGCGCCCGCGCTCCGGTCCCGGCTAGCTGCGACCTTGGCTACTGGAGACAGCGGCCGGCCCAACGCGGGAAAGCTGTCGGGCTGAACAGGGTAGCGCAGTGCGCTTCCTCCGCGCGCCCCGCTCGGACTCAGCCGACGCTGGCTTTGCCTATTTGCCCTTTGGGGCCGTAGACCGCTGACGCAGTTTTATTTTTTTCACTTACTCGGGAACGCATTGATGTTCATTGGTAGGAGTCAGATTAAGTTAAATGCTAGAATGCTGTGTTTATTTCCCATGACGTGAAAAAAAATCGGTTTGGGGCATGAACTATTCTACTAAGGGAAAGATGCACATTTTCCAGAGAGGGATCTGAACACGGTTGGTTTTGTGTTGACTTTTATTTTTTGGAAGTCGTAGTGGCTGTGTTGGGCTAGCCTATGAAAACTGCCCAAATCAGAAGAGTGTGTCTTCTGTGGTTGTGTGCTCCAAGAAGTCTTCATAGAAATGTTTGTTTTGGAGTTGAAATTTAAGTGAAAATTTGGCTCATTTGTAGCCGTATATACATATACCCGACTTTAAAATGACAACATCAGCAAATTGCAGATGGGTACTAGTTGGGCTGTGTGAGTTACCGTGTGTGTGTGTGTGTGTGTGTGTGTGTGTGTGTGTGTGTGTGTATAGACGCGCGCGTACTGGTTAGAAAGACGTGTAGAACTGCAGTCCTGGAAATGCAAAGACAAATGGACAATGGAACAGAGTAAACTGCTTGTAGAATTAGGTACTCCTATAAAAAGAACGCTGTTTTTCAGGGGGAGAAATGTTCTCATTTATCCTTCTAATCCGTGGTTATATACCTCCATTCAATTAACGTTAATTCTCTTCTATTCTCTACTACCCCCTACACCTTTTTAACAATTGCACTGTTTTTCTTGCCCATGTATCAAATACAGAGGTGATTTTAAGAAAACCACAAATCAGAAATACAAATACAGTAATTTTGTGAAAATGCATTTATATGTAGGGACTAAAAATATATTTAGGTAATCATATTCTATTTTAAATATCGGTGAAAATTTTAGATATTTAATAGGACAAGAAAAATCTTTTAAAATGAAGGGCTGGGGATTTAGCTTAGTGGTTCCGCCACCTGCCTTGCAAGTGCACCGTCCTGAGTTCAATTCCTGGTACCAAAAAAAAATGTTGTCTTTTGTAAACTATATAATTTTTTTTTTTTAGCAGACTAGAATTTTTAGAGTTCCTCTTGAAATGTATATATTGTGTTATGTTAAAGTCCTGTCTAAATTGTCAGATACAACCTAGGTAAAAATCACATACTTTAAACATTAACAAATGGGGCAGTCAGTAGACACCTTTCACTGAACAAGTCTTTAAAATACTAAAGAATCAATGCTAGGGAGAAACCCTTCAATCATAAAAGGCATATAATGTTACATTTCCTCGTAAAATAATGATTCCTAAAAGCTCAAAGGTATGTATCTGTTTTAATCGCGAGATAGCACTGTGCTCATTGCACATCATACATGATATAGTTAATGGTCTAAAATAATTTTTTTTAATTTCGTCAAAGGCATGAAGGAGAGGCAGGAATTCCTACAATCAAGCCATCTGATTTAAACTAGTCTTCCTTAAATGTGTTGCGCTCATTGAAAACAGGAGTTGTGGTAACATTCTGTAGATTTCACAAGTCCAGGATAGGAAGAAAGGTAGATAAGCATAGTTTTGAATGCCTAATAGAGGGTCAAAGGTCATCAGGAAACATTACCCTGCAGCCAAATGTGCTTGTACTTTCTTTGGTCTCTAATTGTTTTTAATGAATCAAATATTTATTGGTGTGATACTCAAAACTGTACCAAAACTGCATAAAGGCAATTAAAGAATTTATTGTCTTCTTGTTATGGAAAAGCTTGCGTATTCAACACTACAAGAGTAATTTAACTATAAAAGTGTAAAATTGTATCATATTGTGATGGTGATAATAAAACCAACAAGACTTGCCAGTCATAGGCTGTGCATACGGTAACCATGAGAGATTTGTAGCAGCAACACTGATATCAGACAGGCTAGACTTTAAGACAGGAAATATTCCTAGAGACACATTTTATGGTAGTAAGAGATATATATATACATACATTTATTTCATATATTTACGTATTTTATTTATACATTTTACATATTATATCACTTAACTCTTATCACTATAAAATATGTATGCACCCAACAATGTAATCCTAAATTTACAAAGCAAAACGTCACACATCCGAAGGGCTAGAGGGGTTGCCCAATGATAGAGTGCTTGCATAACCTCCCTAAAGCATTGGGCTTTATTCCCTAGCACTGTAAATAGGGAAAAATTGATTGAACGGAAAAGCAGACGTACATTAATAGCTTAATGCTTCAATACCCTGTCTCAGTAATGGCTAAGACAACTAAAAAGAAAGTGAAGAATACAGAAGCCTTGAAAAACACTCCCAACTCAACTGATGAGTATAGACTGCTGTACTTCCTGACAGTAAAATGTATGTTCTTTTTAAAGAGTATATACTTTAGGGTAACCTATCTGGTGGGTCATGAATTCTAAGTTTAAAAGGCCTCAGATCAGACAAAGTACATCCCCTGATACAATGGAATTAAATGGGGAATCAACAATGAAAAGATGTTTAAAAACCCCAAATATTTGGAAAGTACTCATCAGACAAAGAGATAAAGGAAATTAGATAACTGAATGAAAATTTTGAAATTTATGAGATGCAGTTAGAACAGATCTGAAAACTATTTACTATTTTAAGCACCTGCACTAGAAAAGAAAAGGGTCTTAATAATCTAGGTTTAAAAGTTTTTAAAGAAAAAGCAATTTAAACCTGTATCCAAAAAAGGGAGAAAATGGTGATCGTACTGGAAGTCAATGGAATAGACAAAAGAAAAACAGAATGAAAATTAGTAGTTGGTTCTTTGAAAAGATGAATAAAATTGGCAATCTTTTATTTGTCAAAAAAATACATATATGTAAATGTACATAAAAGGACACAAATAACCAAAGGCAGGAATGAAAGCCATTGCATTACCTCTCATTCTACAAGGGCTGAAAGGATTATAAGGGTGTTAGATGCAGTACAAAGTTTATCTTATAAATTAGGCACAATAAGAAATGAACAATAACAATAATGAAATTATCATAGAACAACTATTACAACATACCATATTAAGAGTTAGGTGAACGTGTTTTCTTTTTCACAAAGTGTTGTCCCAGTGGGATTGGACCTACTAAGATGAATGGAAGAGGATTCCAAGCCAAACATGAAAGCCAAAAATAGCTAATTGAGCAAATATGTTTAAAGACTCATTAGGGTGATTTCTATTTTATGTAGCATTTAGTAGGGTATTATTTTGATCAATGAGGATTGAAAAGGTTATACTATCATGTCTTCTTGGTGTATAAGCATTACAATGTAGATACTGAACAAAATGGAATGGAAAGTTGGAAGACAAATAGGAAAGTGTAGCTATAGATTATGGGTGTAAAATATAGAGAATATTAACTCTTAAAAAAATCTATAATAAAACCTTAGTCTATTGACGTGTTTTAGAAATTTAGAAATATTTTCCTTGAGCCTTTGTATGGTTTGAAAATGTACTTTAGAATATGAGAAAATGAAAAAATGGAAATAAAGTGTTTGTAAATGGGGAGGGGAAGAGGGGGTGAAGGGAGGGCAGGGACAAGGGGAAAAAATGAGAACCAAGACCTGTCATGTAAAGGTACAAGATCCCAGTACTGAATGTGTAACTGTACTGTATACCTAGAATGTACCAATAAACTCAATAAAAAGAAAAAAAAAAGAAAATGTGCTTTAGAACTCAAATGTTTTTTATTGGCTTAAAAGAACATAGAATTAAGAATCTCTCATGTTTAAACTCATTCTACAGCCAGTGGAAAAAGTCCCATTAATAATAAGTTATTACTAAAAGTACAAATAGAGCGATTCCTTTGCAGAAAGTTCTGCCATGGTTAATAATCCTGACAAAATTATGTACATTATTATAATTGCATATCAGTTTTAGGTAATCAACTCTCAATCTAATGGGACTGAGAAACACTGTGATAACAGTAATTTGTGTTACTCTGCAGGTATTTTAAATATACTTGAAATGTAATGCTTAAATTATTACCCCCATATCAGTCATTCTGTCAGTTCCAGTCATACTATCAACAGATTGTTTTGTGTTCTATGTGGGCATTGAACCAATAGGATTATTTTTCACTCGTGCATTGTCTAAAGTTTTTTCCTAAAGAGTAATCTTTGCCCACCATAGAAGATGAATAAGCCTCTTTTTCCATTCTGATACCACCATTGAATATGAATGAATATAACATGGAAATCTGTTAGTCAAAGGCCCTCTCTTCCAATTGGAATTCAGGACAATCTGGGGTAATTGGTGGTTTTAGTTTTCTCAGCACCAGCAGTGACAGTGCTTCAGTGGAGGAACCAGAACTTTCCTGCCCCTCAAAACAGCTAGAGACCAAGCATGGTGGTGCACACCTGTAATCCCACCACTCTGGGAGGCTGGGGCAGGAGGATCACAAGTTCAAACCCAGTCTAAGCAATTAAACAATTTCATAAGACCCTTTCTCAAAAACTAAAAACAAAAGGACAAGGACGTAGCTCAGTCCGAAAGCTTTGGAATCAATCCCCAGTA